CATTTTGAAGACAATCAAAGGTAACAAGATTTGATTAACTGCACAGAATAGATTAGATTAGATTAGATTAGATTAGATTAGATTTGGTTTTTTGACAATAGTGATTCGAAATTCAAAATATATGACTGACAATTAAGGCAATGGATATATATTTATCATTTGAGATCCCATATCCGCCACCAATCACAGAAAAAAGAAATGGAAATATATCACTTATATATAGTTAATTTATTTGAAGAAGAAAATAAAAATTACTATAATAAGTATAATATAATAGTAAAATTGCACAATGAGCACTGACATTCTTTATCTAATCATAATAGCTATAATTACAGGGAGGAAGGTGATTATCTTGTTATATTCTTGATATATTTTTAGGTATAAGAAAAAGAGAAAAGAACCTTTTAGAGAAAGCAGGTTATGCCAACAGTATTGGTATTTCTCTTGGACCAGCAATACCACAAATTGCAACTGTAGTAACAATATGCATACATCTTGCAATGGGAAATACTCTAACTGGTGCAGAGGTGAGTTAAAATTAAACAAATGCTACCGCATGATTGGCCGAACTACTAAATTGAGTACTGTTGTGATTAGGTATTTATCATACTTCTATATTGTTTTGTTTTATTCTAGGCGTTCACACTGGTATCTGTTTTCCATACTTTAAGTTTAGTGTTTGGTATTGCCCCATGGAGTGTAAAAACATATGTAGAGTGCAGAGTAGCCAGTGTCAGAATAAGGGTAAACACTGTTATAGTTTCTTTCATTCTCGGTCTTTTCATGGGATATTTCACACAAGTTTTGAAAGCAAGAGCGTGTATTGACTGAAGTGTACCCTCTTCCACAATTCAACATTTTGTTTTTAGGTCTATTTTAAGTTACTTGGGCTATGTTTTTACAGCCGCCTTTTCAATTAGATCGACCTTGGTAGTTTACCAAGTTCAAATTTGTGATCTTGTGGTAGAATATCATGTACATGGGGATGGGGTGTGTGTTTATATCAAGTTTGTGAAATCAAAAACACTAGAAAATACAGGGGAAGGCAACTGCGGAAAACATCAAAGGTAATAGAAGATGTTTAATTGGTACAACGTCTCTTGGTGCATCACGTTCTATAATATAATCGTCTAGGTGCATGCCACATACCTTTTCCAGTAAACCCAATTTTCAAAATACGCTGTATCAAATATGTTCATATATTACATAGATTTACATAGACTATGACATGTAAACTTGTTTTTGTTTTAAAATCGTTCTATAAAAATAGATTGTATCTATTAAGATCGCACAAAAGTCAAAATTTTAGAACAAATTGTAGGTGTTTCATTCTTGCCTGATGCCTAAACTAGAATACTGATGGCTATTTTCATATTTTGCAAGCTCTGTCATGACTATTGTATTTAGGTTATAGTATTTAGCTTGCACTAGACCAAAAATATGACCCGTCTCCTATTTGTGTGATATTTTCATAGGTTAGCGATTGCATCACAGTTATCTCTCTACATGGTTGAACATCTCTATATTGTTTTCACAGTTTAATGGATGAAAGTAATATTTATATTGTAGAGCCTTTTAATGATGGAAGAATACGAATGCTTCACAACAAAACCCAAAAATAAAAATCATGCCATTGAGATTGTCAATGCTACCTTTGCATGGGATAAACAAGAACAACAAAATAATGATGAAAAAAAAGAATCTGCATCTAAGAAGGAAGATAAGTCTAATTTTAATTCTGAAAAAGGAGATGTTACCATGGAAACAACAAATACATCCGACAAGGAAACTATGGAGATAAAAAAAAAGGATTTGAATGGTGAAAATATTGTGGAAGTTCTCTTTGATATAAACCTTACTGTGATAAAGGTGAGCATTTGTCTGTTCATTCATTTGTATGACAGCTTGTTTGTTTATTTCTCCATGTCTGTGATGTGGGCTACAATCCCAAGCTATCACTAGGGTAATATACTACATCAACAATATCTAATGGTTTTATATGTAGCTTGGATGAGTATCCATCTGTCCATCCATCTGTTTGTCTATGTCATTGATGTGGGCTACTATCCCAAACTTTCACTATGGTAATACTACATCAACAATATCTAATGGTTTTTATGTAGTTTTGGTGAGTATCCATCTGTTTGTCCATGTCGTTGATGTGAATTTCATAAAGGCATTGATGATTTAATATAAAATGTTAATAAATTTTCTATAAATTTCAAAATGAAGGATGAAAATATCTAGACCAACCATAATGTGTGAATGGATGCATATCAAGTAAATTGGCTAATGATTGAAGGAATACTTGCGAATAATGGGCATTACCAAATGGCATTTATAGCAGTTATACGTATTTCTTGCATACAAGAAATGGGTAAATGGGTTGTATATAATTAGTCTCCGTTCAGACGCAGTCCGAAAACGGGGACTTTTGTTTTGACCTTTGTGTGTCCGTGCATCTGTCAAAGTAAAAAATACATGCCTTTATGAAATTTGCTGTATCATGGGTCACTCTTTAAATATTCTCCATGTATTGTTCAACTTGTATATTACAGGGTGACCTGTTAGGTGTCTGTGGTAGTGTTGGTAGTGGTAAAAGTTCACTGATGTCTGCAGTACTGAGTCAGATGAGACTGGTGAAGGGGCAAGTGTGTGTTGGTGGTACCATTGCATATGTGGCTCAACAAGCATGGGTATTCAATGCAAGTCTCAAAGATAATATCTTATTTGATAAGCCATATGATGAAAAGAGATATACTGATGCTGTGTTTGCTGCTTGTCTTCAACAAGACATTGATATGCTACCAAATGGTGACCAGACTGAGGTAATTATCAATTAAATGTCATCAAAAGAAAAATTATAACATTTTATTTTGTGTTGTGAAGCACCTGTTTACAAAACTTCCAATGCTTTTGATCATTTCCTCATCTCTATTTCTCAATTTTTAAGTAGATATATAAGTTTCTGGAATGAATTGGTGATTTATCTAGGAATTCAATATCTGCCAGGATTTTTTGTTGGTCTAAATGATATTTAGCGCAAAGTTCTAAAAGGTGTAATTCAACTTCAATCTCATTTAGCCAGCATTATGAATGCCAATTCTATTCTATATACACTATTTTGTTTTCTTGATGAGAACAATGTTTTTTATTACATGAATTATATTTGTTGTAGATTGGTGAGAAAGGAATCAATTTAAGTGGAGGTCAGAAACAGCGAGTGAGTTTAGCTAGGGCTTTATATGCTGACTGTGATATCTATTTACTTGATGATCCGCTCAGTGCAGTAGATACCCATGTAGGACAACATATATTTGAAGTATACATAAAGCAAGCTTTACAAAACAAAACCGTTATCTTTGCCACACACCAACTTCAGGTAAGTTTCTTCTCTCTATTTCATCCGTCCATTATAAAATTCACTAATTCATGATAACTTCATTGTAATCGTATCTTTATTAGGATGTTGACTTGAAAAGTACAATATACAGTTGGTTACTGTTGTAATAATGAATAGTTCTGAAAATAAAAAAACAAAATACAAATGATTAGTTTAGGGGGCTTCGTGCCCTGAAATTTATTAAGGTAGAAACCTACTCATACTTTTTGAGAAAGTTGGTTATTGGTTTATTTATGTACAATCACGTAGCTATTGTCTCATAGAACAATGAAACGTCATTATTTTGTGTTTTACAGGGATATTTTTTTGAGAAACTTGCTTTTAAGAACTCGCTATTTTTAGACCAATTCCATAGAACACAATGTTGAAGAAAAATTTAATTTTTTGACACCTTTTAAAACCAAAATTTTTGAAATAATTCAGGACAACAAAAAGTACTCCATCATTGACATGATTTCGTATATTTTATGTCACCAGCCTACAATTTGACATATGGCATAATATCTCTGCCATAGGAAGCTATGTTAAAGAAATCATATATAATAAACCTTTTTTTATGTCAATATATTGCCTTAGAGTACAATTTATTGCAAAATGAATAAATTCTGGGTATTTTTAGTTTATTTATGGATTGATCTTTGTGCGTCTATGTGTCTGTGCATTTGTTGCCTGTGCCTTAGACATGCCTGGACCAATCCCAATCAAACTTCACACGTACATCATACATAATATTATACATATGCACATCAATTTGTTTCACGATCTGATTCAAGATGACTGAATGGTGGCCATTTTTGTGCTAAAAAATCATAAAAAATCAAACTTGGTACAAACATTAACGACTGGTGGCCATTTATGAATGGATTTTGTTCAAACTTGGTACATACGTTAGACATTATTGGACCTTGATGCACATAATTTTATTTTTCAGATCCCATTTAAAATGTACGACTGGTGGCCATTTCGTTTTAATGAATGCAGTGCTAGTGCTATATCTCTGACATGCTTTGACTGATTATAATCAAATTTTATATATTCATTATACCTCATGACATGATATATTGGTTTGACTATCTGATTCAAAATGTTCAAATGGCAGCCATTTTTGTGTGAAAAAATCATCAAAAATCAAACTTTGTACATACATTAACGACTGGTGGCCATTTTGTTCTAATGAATGCGTTTCTAGAGCCTCATTTCTGACATGCTTTGACTGATTATATTCAAATGTTATATATTCGTTATACATCATGTTATAGATATATAGATGAATTCAAAATGGCCGACTGATGTTCCATAGCAATATTTCTCAATATGGACAAGTACTCGTTTGAAATTCAGATACAAGATATCAATCATTTTAATGTTAAAAAATAATCATTATCAAACATTAGCTTCTGGATCCATAATTCTGACATGTTTTTGTTCCAACTATATTACTATTAACAAAACTATAAATCTTAAATTTGATAACTAATGGGGATTGTGCCATGTATGGCTTGTTATTTATGAGTCAGCTTCTACCTTCACAAAGCTTGGCAGGGTAGCCCTATAGTATATTTAGTTATATTCAAGTAGTGTCATAATAAAGTACCAGGTAATCAATTGTGCTGTAACTCTTTCAATAGACTTCATTTACTATTGGCTACCTAGATATAGATTGTTTTTGTTTCCCCAAATAGAGTTCCATACTTGTGTTATTGTTTTTATTTCTTGATATTATTCCAGTATTTAAATCAATGTGATGATGTCATGATGCTAAAAGATGGTCATGTGACTGAGTATGGTACACACAGTCAGCTGATGCTGGATGACAAAGAATTTGCAAATCTCATTAAAACATATCATGAATCAAAACAAGAAGAAGAAACACCGCCTGATATCACTTCTTTTAAAAGTCAACTAAGTCGTCAATTAAGTTTATCTTCTACAACATCTCAGTCAACTTTATCCAGTGAGGACAGCTCTGATATCGCTATGGATACTGATGGTATGTTTTTTTTTAATTACTCGGCAACACACAATGTATAGACTGGACAGTACCCATCCTACCAGTTGCTTAATTCGCTGTTCAGATATGTAGCTATAAGATAGAGGGATATAGGCAAATAAAAGTTCTTTGAGATTTTATCCTTGCCAGGTTACACAAGTTATAATGTATGTTAGTTTATAAATTTCACTTTTCCTCTTGCTGGTTAAGCACATTGGGAAATTGGGAGTTACTTTTTGTCATTGGCTTTGTTGACATTACTACAGGTGAGGTAAGTATTGGGTCTGTAAATCACATACATGTATGTGCACATTACAAAATGTATCAGTTGTGAGTAAATTCAGGTGATCAAATGTCACTTTTGCAATAGAGAAATGCATCAGTTGCGAGTTATGTGAGTGCAAGAGAGGAAACTTATATGTAACGTATTATATTTTTGAGAGATAAAATGTAGCATGAATCCTCGAATTTATCTAGCTGCTATTAACAAAGTTAGCCAACATGCGACCATTCACCATATTGATAGAGTGTACAACATGGTAGGAGTACTGTGCTTGTACAGTAAACGGTTTTCCAGAGAGTATGCAGAGAACTCTCGTGCTTTGTACAATCTTTTTAGCAATTTATTTATCACTTTACATGTAGTGTCGATCAATGTCACTTTACATTGTCTTCCATTTTGATGTTGATATTCAGACAGTTACTCACAACCCTTAAACCCTGACATACAACTCAATTTGTTAACAACTAATAGTATTACATCATGCATATTTTATAATGCCGATCAAGCCCAAGCACTTATATACTCACAACTTACATTCCCACTCATAATTACATCACTTGAAACTGTTAAGGTACTGTGAGTGTGACATTTGACCACTCATAATACTCATACTGTTATATAATGTTATTTATAGACCCATTCATACCTGCATATATGTGCAAGAACTGTCATGCCTAGCCTGCCTATTGCAACAAATTCCCAGATAGTATCAATGATCAATTGTGCCAAACATGAAAAGCTAATTTTTATCACATTTCGCAACCTTCCTAACATGAGTAATAACATGTGACCAACTCCCAAAAAAGAGACCCAACTGGGAAGGCATTAATTTCTCTATCAGCAACGGAATGTATGAGCTGAAATTTTGAACAGTGTCATACATGTGGTCATTTTTATTGATGAATTATAAATATGGTTTATGGATGGACATATTCAATTTGTTTTTTCTTGGTTTAAAAAGAGTATATGTATGAAAGCTCATGATGATCTATAGTCCAAACATATGTCAGCTTATGAATACTTTAAATTAATTTATTTTCTCTTGGACTTTATTTTTACTCTGCAATCCAGTGGAAATACAATCCAGTGAAAATAATTTTTTCTCGTATATTTTATGTTCAAGTCATAAAAAACAATCAAAATCTCTTTTCAGCAAAAACTAATTCCAGCTAAAATAAAATATTTCACAGCAGAGGGGAACATATTCTAGTTTTCAGATAGAATGTCAATTTTATAAGAAACTTTTTCTTTCAATACTTTTCCAGGAAAATTGATTGTAGCAGAAGAGAAAGAAACTGGATCGGTTAAATTGAGTACTTATGGTGCATACATTAAGTCAGCTGGTGGATGTGTAATCGCTTGTATTGTGTGTTTGCTATTTTTATTGTATGTCAGTAGCTTAACATTCAATGCATGGTGGTTAAGTTATTGGATTAGCAAAGGAAGTGGGGTAAGTAAAGCTCATCTTTTATTATCCACTCTATAACAATTACCAACATTTATAAATACTCTTTATGTATAATTCAACTAAAATGCAATGTTTCAGCCATTTCTCAGACATGCCTGTGCTAATTTCATTCAAAATTCGCATGATCTCATTTAATATAATTTAATTCATAATGGCCGACTAGCAAACTATCCATATCTCTGACTTGTACACTTTCATTGATTTTGCCATGATAATTTTAACGTCACTGAACCACTGATTCCCCAATGCTTCCAATTATTACACCAAGTAATCATCCTACCAACTCTCCATGTAGTTATCACATCTTTAAACTCTTATAGTCACTAACATTGTAGTGAAATAAATAGCATTTAAGGTAGCAGGATAGTTTTTTTGCATGAAAAATGTAAACAACCATAATCGGAATAAATTTTACAAGAAACCATACAATCTATATATGTTTGGAAAGCTCTTGACTTGTATTTTCCTATTACCGGTAAATGAAATGCTTTGAAAGTTGTTTTCGAGAAAAATCATGAACCAACATTTATATCTGTGAAAAACTTTGTTTTTTGGCCGTTTTCTTTCACGCTATGGAGTTTTGTGATGGTCTGTGCTGATAACGAACGGTGATGTCATTCATTAAACCTTGGATTATGCAAAGTGGGCGGTTCTGTTTGCGAGTAACAAACAATACAGACACTACACTTGGCAGTTGAAGTGTTTGCAAATACAGTGTATTTATTTTGGGGCTTTTGTGTTTGTAAACTTATTAGTTCAAGCATGCCACGAGTTTCAAAGTCTCCTGGAGGCAGCTCGTACATATTGGCGAAAGGGTGGACCCGTTACTGGTTGAGGTAAACACCGAGGTAACCCCTAATAGCTTGACAGTTTCACCAGAGCGCGCTGTCCCTTTCCAATCGCTCGCATTCCAATGGCAGCTTTTCTATTTATTTAGAAAACTGCTCCCTTCTTTCGGGATGACGAGAAGCTAGGCTGGCTCAGTTTTGATCGA